CTCAGGCAGTGGGACTCACTCACTGTCAAAGATGGCCTTCTCCACAGGCAACAACTTTCAGATGGTGTAGTACCCTACTATCAATTGATTGTTCCTCAGTCTAAAAGAGATGAGGTCATTACCCATCTACATGACGGCATGGGACATCTTGGTAGGGACAGGACCGTGGCTCTTCTCCAGACACGGTTTTACTGGCCGGGAATGATCACGGATGTGGAGAAAAGGATTCGCTGCTGCCAGAGGTGTATACTTCGTAAAGCTCCTAACCAAACTGAGCGTGCACCATTAGTTAGCATCCAAACCACTCAACCTATGGAGTTGGTGTGCATGGACTATCTCAGCTTGGAGCCCTCCTCTGGTGGTTATGAGAATATCCTGGTCATTACGGACCATTTCACCAAATATGCTGTTGCCATTCCCACTCGCAACCAAACGGCACGTACTACAGCCAAAGTACTGTTTGATCACTTCATTGTTCACTATGGCATTCCAGAGAAGTTGCACTCTGATCAAGGCCGGAACTTTGAGAGTGATATCATCAAACAGCTGTGCAGCATATTGGGTATTCTCAAAACGCGGACCACTCCGTATCATCCAATGGGTAATGGTCTATGTGAGCGGTTTAATCGGACGCTCTTAGGGATGCTCGGCACTCTGGAGGAGCAGCAAAAGGCAAAGTGGAAAGATCACCTTTCTCACTTAGTTCATGCCTATAACTGTTCCCTCCATGAGTCAACGGGGTTCACTCCCTACTTCCTCATGTTTGGCAGACAACCTAGGCTGCCTGTTGACGCTGCTTTTGGTACATCACTGGCCAATATTTCATCACCAGCTTATACGCAGTTTGCTGCTGATCTAGAGCGCAAATTACACACTGCCTATGAGCTTGCAGCTGCAAACCTTGAAAGGGCTCAGGCTAAACAACGCAAAGCCTATAATCTTAAGGCACGCGGAGCCACACTCAAGGTTGGTGACGTTGTATTGGTGCGTAACGTCAACATACGTGGGAAGCAAAAACTGGCTAACCGGTGGGAAGAGGAGTATTACGTGGTTGATTCTCAACCTCATGCCGACATTCCTGTGTTTAAAGTTCATAAGGAAGGAACCAGAGAATGTCGTGTACTCCACCGTAATCTACTCCTTCCCATTGGTACGAATGGTCAGCCCATACCCAGGCCACGGTGCACACCATCGACATCGACGACGACGACGACTACTACTACTTCTGTTTCAACACCATCTTCTGGCGAGCTTAAGGACACAAGTACTGACACAACACTGGAGATCTCAACAACCAACATGGATATTGAGAGTTCTCCTTCTCCAGTGTCGGTATCGTCCCCAGTGTCAGCACTGCCACCAATCAGCCCGCCATTTGCAAGTGTGTCACCAGTAGTTTCACCATCCACACCAGCACCAACTGCACCAACCAGTTCTATCCCTGGCTCTGGACCGTCAACTCCACAGCCACCACCTCGGCGAGTTGGACGAACCCGAACAAAGCCAAAGTGGATGACAGATGGGCAGTTTGTTGTAAAACAAAGTGTCTGGGTGTGAGGAGGTAATTATACATTGCCGCTATTTAATGGCGAGGTCGCCATTTCCCAAAGTGGGGGTGTATGTAGCCGGGTGGTGGTGCTAACTCTGAATGAGTTATAGCCACATAAGTACCACCCACTTATAACCCCCCTTAGATTCATTCTATACATATATACATACATGTTCATCTATTATCACCATCACTTCATTCTGTGTTCATTATATGTTCATTATATGTTCATTATATGTTGTCCTTGTCTGCAGTTGAATGTCAGCCAACTAACACCAACCTGATACCCTTCTGCAGCCTCTGTAATTTCTCCAGCTTCACCTGGACTTCCCCCTATCTATTTTTAGACATGTCCACCACTTTATGTGACTGAAGCATCTTGACTTCCTTTTAATACCTGTCAGATGGTACCTTTCTTCTGATTGGCCCTTTGGTCCACTTCTTTAACTTCCTTTCTCACCTGCCCTCCTCATGCATTCTGCATGAACTCTTTATGGAGGGAGGACTCTTGTTTACAGGTGAGAAACATTTCAATATTCTTATCTCTTTCCATCCTGCTTTAGAAACAATTATATTCATAGAAAGGGTATCACAGCTTTTCATTAAAGTAAAATATATTTAATTGCATTATTATTTAATTTGTCATATCTAAATATTTGCCAGCTCACACATTTTGTGTTACATTAATTGAGCACATGGTCTTCAACCATGTGCTTCAACCATGTGCTACCCAACATATCCTTATAAATTAATCTGTTTCCTTTTGGCTTAAATTAAATTATAACATATTCTGCATGAACTCTTTATGGAGGGAGGACTCTTGTTTACAGCTTCCCTCCCACCATCTACTACCAAAGAATAAATATCATCATCATCTTCAAGAACTGCCTCATGTTTTGACTAGCAGCCCAGTGGCTGGACACATCACACCACGCCCGGCTACAATTACATCTTCATACATTTTGTGTCCGAACATGTATTTGTTTAAACTACAGGCATGTGAAGATACAACTGGGGGTTGTTTTATGTACAGGGCTTTTAATATATCTGCTCTAGTGTTATGTTACACCCTATCTATCAAAAACCCGTGATGACAATAACAGTTTTCCCCCGGAAGACTGCAATAGATTTGGAATAGGAATAGGAAAAAATTGCATTGGAAAATTATTTTTCCATCATAAAATGTCCACAAAGTTGTCGGATTAATTCTGACAATCAGCATGTATCAATACATGCCTCTAGTACCATGAAAGGGTGTATCAAAAAGGAAATAATTATTTGATCATACTTTTATGCCCGCAAAGCTGGTATAGAAACGGACACGTTCTGTTCACAGTGAAAGAAAGGGGACTCAGCAATTGGTATTTAAATGGATTATCGATTTTCTGTAACGGTCATCAGTATGATATCAATTTTCAATCTAGGAAAACTAATCTATTTTTGTCCCTCTAAATGAAGCATTTTATGCTTGGTCAGTGAGTGAGTTTAGTTTTACGCTGCTTGGTACATACATAGTATTTGCGTCACGACATGTCAAATTAATGCCGGGTGAAATATAGAACGTCAACGCCAGAGGTTCTAAGGCGTAAAATATGTACAGTAGTGGCGAACATTATGTGAATATATCACTGACAATTATGCCCTTCTCTTCCGGTTGCATCCGCCACTCACACAATTTGCCTAAAATAGTAAGTGTTTGTTCGTTGCCCAACGCTGCACACCAGTCCTCCTGACGACGGCAGCCTGTAAACAATCGAGTCTGTACCTAACAATCAAGTGATAGTGGTCCAAACAATCGAGTGATATGATTTCGGGTTTCCTGATTTCATTTAAACTAAATATGGTATCATTATCCTCGAAGGTTCTTGTGATGGAGCATGCAACGGATTCCCGGAGGATAGAGTGTCTGTTCGGAAAGCGATAGGTCAGTGATTCAAGCATTAGTCAGCGTTATATCAAACGACGTTAAAAGATGGTAATTGTTGTTACCCTGCCTGGCGCTCGGCGGTCATGATCAGAGGATAAAATGAGGACTGGTCCAATAATCTTGACTGCGACGCCAAACCCCATTTTACATCACCTCACCATGGGGACGGAATGTATATGTACATATCAGAATCTTCAGAAACCATATACTCAAGACACCCATACTACAATAGATCCTAACCTAACCTATACACACAGGTTATCAACAAACCTTCATACTGTTTGGTTAAATATAAATTCAGATGTATTGAGCCACTTCAGAAGACTTAGATATCAACTTAGATATGCCATCTAACAGTCTAAAACGTGATGACCCGTTTCATGATAAAGGATTGGCGTACGTACATGTGAATAAGTCAGTTATGTTATGTAATCCCTCACAATTGACTAAAACGTCAGTCGGCAAATCTCAAAATTAAAGGAGGCCAGAACGGAAACAAGCTCGGATTCATCCTGTTAAAGGTTACAGCCCATGAAAGAGACCAACACATTCGGTTCTCAATAGCGTCGTGTGCAATGGTTAAAAGCTCGGATTCATCCTGTTAGCGGTTACAGCCAATGAAGAGACCAACACATTCGGTTCTCAATAGCGTCGTGTGCAATGGTTAAAAGCTCGGATTCATCCTGTTAGCGGTTACAGCCAATGAAGAGACCAACACATTCGGTTCTCAATAGCGTCGTGTGCAATGGTTAAAAGCTCGGATTCACCCTGTTAGCGGTTACAGCCCATGAAAGAGACCAACAAATTCGGTTCTCAATAGGCGCCGTGTGCAATGGTTCAAAGCTCGGATCTCATTCGATTTTGGGGGACACTTGGTTAAATAAAAGCGACAAATGCCTTTCTATAATCATAACAAATCTGAGAGTCTACTGCACGATGTGTAGCGTTAAACCACCTACTTTATTCACTCCTTCTTCATGGGTCCCAAGTAGAAGTGGAAAGGGGTTGTCATGACTGGTGAAGTCCATCTCATGACAATTATTGTTTAGTTCTAGTTACATGTTTAAACAAAATTCATATTCATTCAATTAAAGGTTTGATTTGAAGGAATAGAAATCCCTTTAATAATATTTGGAGCTTGCTCTTCGCTACTTTTACCAAGACGTTTCAATAATCCGCCTGGCACTAACCTGTACCTTTAGAGTAATCAAAATCATTTCTTTCTCACCAGTGATAGAACACTGGCGACCATGCCTTTCATCCCAGCATAACAGAAAGCTATCACGACTGCTCAGATTACTTGAACTCAGGTGAATTATAATTTATTGTAAAGGCTTGACACTGGAGCATTAACTATACCAATTCAGCATTCCATCATATTGTGATCTGCAGAGAATATTATGCCGATTCTTTGAAGTCTCGCGACTGGAAAGAAATTAAGATGATATCAGAAGAAAAGCGAATGTTCGGTTGGTGATGATAGTGAACTGTGCAGAATGGTGCAATGTGGTCTTGTGGGCGACTTCAAGATGGGAACACAAACAGAAGCGCTGGTGGTGACCCAAGCGGGATGTACCTCATAGCCTTTACATTGGGTCATATTGTTATACGAGAGGACACAGTGACGCTAGGAAGTGATAATAGCGTTAACGTGTTCGAGACTGTTGGTCTTTAACGCATACAATGTGTGACCACTATGCGTGGGACACGCAATAATTATAGTTTAATTTCTTTCGGTTCATACATAGACTTGCTGTTTAGATTATTACACTTTCGTTAGATTAGAAGCCATGAACTGTGCACAACATGCTATTCATGAATGGAAATAAATAAATAAAAAGGGTTGAGAAACGACTTTGGTAAATTGGCTGCTTTCAAGAACAATGACGACGACAAAACCCTTTCCATATTCATAAGAGATCTCTGATGAAAAAGCAGAGCCCATTGTGCGATTCCGATTATATCATGAACCTGAGTTTATGAATCACTATCAAATAGTTATGATACCAAGAGTTCGCGAAAAGGTTCCCGTGTCCTGCCCCATCGGCGACACCAGTCATAACCACATGCAAAGACATTTCAAATTGAGAAAAAACATGGTATCAAATGGATCAGGTGTCAAAGTTGGGAAGTGTATCGGCCATTATGTTTGTTACTGCTGCGTCAAATTTGTAAATGTCCTCCACATGTCTTCCATAAAATTTTAAATGAAAGCTTTACCGAGGCCTTGAATGTTATAAACAATTTCTGAGCAAGAGTCGTATGACGCTCCTTGAAATCTTCGTAGAAAGAGCATGCTCGATTGTACCTCAAAAGTTGTGAAATGTACACACCAAAGGCTGGATCTGCTGACATATTGCTCGACAAAAAGGGAAAGTTGACTGTTGGAAAGTTGAAGGCATCACTCTTGTCCTTCAGTCTTGTGGAGAGTGTTTCGTCACTTTCTCTTTTCATAGCTCTAAATATGAAACAGATGAGGCTGTCTCTCTGGTCTCAGGGGCGGTAGGGTAGCGAAGTGGTTTAAGCGTCATATTTCCCACAATGTGTGTTGTCCCCCGCCGTGGTATTGCTGGAATATGGCTAAAAGTGGCGTAAAACCACACTCACTCACTCACTCACTCACTCGTTTCCTATATTTCTAGTTCAGGTAGGTAAATCAGTGGAAGAGGATTGGCTATTTGATGGTTATTGAACGATATCAGATCATCGATATTCCTGAAGCTTAAGTAAAATCCCTTAACAAATTATTGTTTTTAATAGTAAGTAATAAAATAGTTTGACCTGAGTACTGGAAGAGCATGAGTTATGTGAAAGCTATCAGTCAGATTATTTATTATATCAAATAGGTACAAAGCCACGACAGAAGATAATTGGTAGTGTATTTGCCAAAATGAATTCAGTTATTATCCATCGATAATGAGCAACACATTGTGTTATGACAGTGGATTGGATATTATGCAGATGATACAAGCAAGACGTCCGAAATTAGACATCTAAGACCTTGTGCAGGAAGCAGATTCGAAAAATAGCTTCATCATATGAAAAGGACAAATTGATTTCAATTCAGAAAATCAATTGACACACATATTTCAGACAACAAGATTTACAAAGTGTTTTTTAGGATTGTGATGGTGTTCTTATCGCAAGAAGAAACAAAAAGTTGACCAAATGCGATTAGTTACTTAAGTTAAAAAAAACGAAATCCGAAAAAAAAACTTATCTCGTAAATGTCCAAAGTTCTGGTTCCCGGAGAGAAGATATTGTCAGTTATGTTATCCAGGAACGTACCCGCACGACTGTCACCTTCAAAGAACTGCTTAATATATTATAAAAACGTAAAGCTGCTTCTTGATACTCAAAACATACAGATCTCTATCTTATTCGCCTGAGGTACACTCTAGCTGTCTTGTCTGTCGACGGATGCGGTGAGAGAGACTCGGTGACATAGCAACCACAATGAGTAATTACAAAGTTTGTGTCGTTGGGAAAATTATCCGGAAGGTTTATTTCCGAAAGAAGAAATCTTGATATAAAAAATGAAAGAAGTGTCCCTGAATAGTAACGTCTTTGAGGGATAACTGTTGGTTGTAACTTTTTACATCAAAGAATCAGTGGGAAATCAACCTGCTTTTTTCTTATGAAACTTGGAATATCATAAAAACTCTGGTATTGGAAGTTTTTTCACTTTCATAAAATTTATACTGAAATAAACTTTTTGTCCATATCGTTTTCATACAACTTTTCACGGAATTCTTGCTGCTTGGAAATATTCTTATTTCTGAAAGCTTTTGTAGCATGGCTCGTTATCAATGTTACCGAATAAAAATCAATCGAAAACATACATGTGCACGTACTTGTCAGCAATATCGCCATATTTAGCATTTAATCTCATAAAAACCGATGCGATAGTTCAGTTGATAGAGCGTCTGTCTGGAAAGCGGAAGGACTGTGGTTCCATCCCCTGGCTACGTCAAGCCAAAATATGATAACAGATTGAATTGGTTGTAACCCTGCCTGGCACTCGGCATTAAGGGGACAAACAATGACTGGTCGACTCGGAGTGATGTCTGTGTTTAAGTGGGGTATTCATGTTAAACTTAGGTATGGTATCTCAGTGGGCTAGCACTATAAAACTGGCATAATCCCGGACTAGTATTTATTTATTAGTGCGCATGCACTTCGCTGCCCCGGTGTCATAATCTTTAACGCGTTAAACCCCACCTCACCTGACGTATCGTTGTTTATCTGAGAGTACAGCTTCATGGCCATGTTAACACCTGACCGATGGACCTCAGACAGGCTCTTCAACAAGTCCTCGATTATCCAGGGTATTATGTTTCGTTTCGAGTACAGTTTCTATACCCTGGGCCCATTCGCCATCATATATTTGTTCCGGAAGTGACGTTCTCCATTTTGTGCAATGAAAACACGACAAAGGGTAAAGGAAACAATATATTTAATACACATTGGGATATATATGCTATATACAAGGGGGCTGCTCGGTCGCACACGGAATGTCCTGAGGACGGGGGTTAGTTCTAAGGCCGTGCTGGCCTGCTAGGATAGGGCTACCCTGCGGGTAGAGAGGTGTTGATGAAAAGGAGCAGATTATTATTATTATTAGATTGAATGATAGGGGTACCCTGCGGGTATGGACTGTGAACTGGTGGCTGCGCCGGACCAGGTAGGTAAGGAATATTTGGGGGCCCCAAGCCATGTAATGCTGCTGCCTGAGGCATGCAATGGCTTGAGACGCCCCTGCTGGTAGAGAGATAGGGCTACCCTGCGGGTAGTGGGACAAGGGTACCCTGCGGGTATGGATGTGAACCGGTGGCTGTGCCGGACCAGGTAGGTAAGTGTCCTGCGGACGAGGGTTAGTTGTAGGGCTACCCTGCGGGTAGAGGGACGGGGGTACCCTGCGGGTATGGATGTGAACTGGTGGCTGCGCCGGACCGGGTAGGTAAGTGTCCTGCGGACGAGGGTTAGTTGTAGGGTTACCCTGCGGGTAGAGGGACGGGGGTACCCTGCGGGTATGGATGTGAACTGGTGGCTGTGCCGGACCAGGTAGGTAAGTGTCCTGCGGACGAGGGTTAGTTGTAGGGCTACCCTGCGGGTAGAGGGACGGGGGTACCCTGCGGGTATGGATGTGGACTGGTGGCTGCGCCGGACCGGGTAGGTTAGTGTCCTGCGGACGGGGATTAGTCTTAGACATAATGTGCTTAACCAAGCAGCCCCAAGGTGGTGAAGGGGTGGATGGAGGGTACCAAATTGACTTGACAGAACAATGGTTAAACGGCAAGATGGAGGCTGAAAGGAATTTACATAAATACACATGTGACGTCATTCCTTCACACTGCACATGACCGGTAGTGAAAGATATCATGGGAGTATATATAAGAAATTAATCTACATGGATGCTGGTTTACGATAACACGGCTATGGGGAAAAAAAACTAAGCAAGGTCAATTGGCCTGACAAAACTGATAAAAAACATAATAACAATTTAAGAGATACACTGAGAGCGAGACCACCGGAAGTGGTAGTGTAAACAAACTGCCGTACGAGCACATGGCAAGGATACAATTAAATATACCAGTGGTGAGTGGTAAAGTAAAGGCGTTAGGGTTGAGATACTACAAGATGAACTGCATAAAATGACATGGATGGTATTATCATTGCACAAACAAAAATATTAAATTGACATATCTTTTATCACTGACATAGCACATGATAAATCACAGGTTATTTGACTGGACGGATATTTTTCAGCATCGTCATATTTAAACCACAATGGAATGGAGATATGTATTAAGCACAAGTTTCAAAAGAAACGCACGTCTCGTGTTGCAACTTCCGACCTCAATAATATCAAATAACAGTTATTTATTTGCGCAACAAAAGACACATTAATAGAATAACATGTCGAGAAACGTTCCACTCATCGTTTTGGGATTCAAACAATGATTAATGAACATATAGGCTCTTCATGTCCTTGCACATGTTTAACGTGCAATATGGACCGTTAGATGTTGAAGGTACCCGTAAAAGCGAACACGTGTCAACAAACGTCCATCGGTCGACTGAGTGACACGGAATGCACCACACCCGGATTAGGCATAAACAATCGACATCGAGTATTAGGCATGATTATGGCAGGATTGCCCAAAGAGCGGACGCCAACGTGTAATGTCATTACATCAAGATAGGGTTATCGCCTGTTCACCTGCCAGCGCTAACTCCTACAAGACAGACAGACAGTTGGAACCCACCACAGATCTGTGTCAGCACATACAATGCATCAGCAGCACGTCCCAGGTGTCGACATCCATACTTTGGGTGTGCGTTACTTTTTGGAATTGAGTATAGCACACTGGATAATCGAAGATGCAACGATTGTACATGTATGTATGCGGGTGAACGAGTTGGACTTTCTTAACTTAATGTGGGAGTCAAGGACTGGTCAGCTCGGAGTCCTTGTCCGTCTGAGTGGGGTTTATGTTAAACTGCGACGTGGTATCTCAGTGGGCTAGCACTATGAAATCGGCATTAGTCCGGACTAGTACAAGCATAAATCTGCATCCCAGTGTCAGGAGGTTATTTCCACATTGAAACGCAAAGGTTGACCCAGAAATCATTCAGCACAGATCAAAATGATATCAGTAAAAAATACCCTAGATCAATGAATAATCAATAAATCATATTGAAACGTACAGTTTTTAGTTCACAATATAGAGGGACAACACAATGGGTCAAATAAATCGCAGCAGCAAGACATAACAGGCTCAAGCACTTATGTAGGTGCACACACGAATGTTCAGAATAGTGTCCCTGTTGATGTTCTTGAAAGAGGCCTGTTTCCGTTCTTGAATACAGAATATCGTTGGAAGTTGGCAGAAATTCGATTTTTCCCGACAGGTATCCAAACTACTTGGCAATTAGATAAGACACAAGTCAGGTCTTACAAGGCCCCGAATCGCTCTGTTCCCCTTATCCAGGTAGGGCCATCCTTCCAGAAACTGTCCCAACCCGAAACTTCTGGAACGATCAAACCTGCCACTTGATATTGTTTACTTGTACCTCGATATTTGTCTGCCACTGACAATTACTACAAATAAATCTACAACAGTTTATATTTTGACATAACAACAGCAAATCAATACAAGTATGTATTTGGCATCTAGAAGTCGTTATAACATGACCTGATTTATGAATACCAGTTTCTGTTTTATTCTAATGACGTTTGATGTTTCGGGACTTAACATAATATGATGTCGAAAATGTCAGAAGAAACCATTTGTCATCTGGCTTTACAAAACAAAATCCTTCGCGAAACATCAAAGGTGTTCTGAAAGATAATGAAAGAAATTGTCTTGGAGCACTGACTGAAAAACATACCATCTTTCAAACAAACATTACTGCCCTGCCACATGCACACCTTCCCGCACCACCACCCTTGGCTACAGCTTTGTTGCGTGGTTGACTTCAAAGGTGGGCCCTTTGTAATGATCCTGTTGTCTCTGCAGCGTTGTAGAAAGGTGAGACGGCTGCTGGCCATTATGTTAATATGTATCTGAAAGATGCTGATATACGTGGTGATGTCTCCTACCTCATCATCTCAATGTTGATGTGTCTAATGAAGTCTTTGAATCAATTGGCATTCAGAACATGAAACACGAATATAACTCTTTTTTTATTAAATAAGGATAAGATTTATAGATGAACAACTTCTTCATTACAATTAAGAATGACGTTCCGGTGTAGGTTCTAACAGCGTTATGAAGCAAGTGATGAGACGTCACGTGATGATGGTCATCACTCGCTTGAGAACAGTGTTAGAACCTACACCGAAACGTTGCTTTTAATTGTAATAAAGAAGTTGTTCATCCATAAATATTATCCTTACTTAGATCTCCAACTTCTAAATGCCGCTCAAAGAATGTTTAATTGATTTTAACCTCTTTTACATGGCTCTTTCTTGCTCATTGTTATCCATAAAGAGTTCTCCGCCTTCAGTTGAAGTAATAAGGATTGTCAGTGGTTGCTACTGTCAAGATGTCACCATAAAATGCCTGGCCAAGTCATTCCCAAAAATGTGTGGTATACATTCATTTGAAATTGCTGAACACGTCCTGATTAAAATTCTTAATACGATTAGCTCACTCTTTCGCGAACACCTGGTATCATCACTATTTGACTGATTCATATAAACACGTGCTTGTGATGTATCGGAATCGGACCATGGACTCTTTCAATAGAGATGTCTCATGGTCATGGAGATGTTACTCCATTCATTTAATGATATCTAAACTTATTTAAAGCATATATAGAGCACGATAGAGTGATGCTGTATTAATTCTGCTATTTAATACCATAATGTGTCAAATTTCATTCATATCCACAAAATATGTATATCCTGTCATTAAGATCTACTTTAAGTGATACATTGTAACTATACATTTGGAGAATCACATTCTGAATCACATTTCGCTGCGCAGTTGTAACTTTTACTTTTGTTTCTACATGTAAATCCTGTCATTAACATCTACATGTATTTAAAGTGATACATTGTATATACATTTAGAGAATCACATTCTGAATCCCATTTGGCTGCGCAGTTGTAACTTTTACTTTTGTTTCTACATACAAATCCTGTCATTAACATCTATTTAAAGTGATACATTGTATATACATATGGAGAATCACATTCTGAATCACATTTTGCTGCGCAGTTGTAACTTTTACTTTCTATTCTACATGTAAATCCTATCATTAACATCTATTTAAAGTGATACATTGTAAATACATTTCGAGAATCACATTCTGAATCATATTTCGCTACGCAGTTGTAACTTTTACTTTTGTTTCTACATTGTAGGGGAACACTTCATTTCGTCTAACCTAGTCTCATTCAACCAAATTGATTTTTGTTTACTTTTCCCAAGCTAATTTGATTTACATGACATATGCTTCCTGATTGTTCTCAAATCCCAGTTTGCTACCTCCGCACATGGAGCCTTTCATAATTAAATAATGTGCAAGAACGGAACTACGACAACTCGAATGTCCTCATGTCAAGCAACTGACGTCCAGTGTGTCTGTTATGTGGAATTCGTCGTTATTAAGAACTATATTTTGTTTGGAAATGTTCATAGACGCTTTTTATAAGCTTTTGGGGTGTCTGAGATTATGACAGGGAATAATTTCATGTAAGTATCACAAAATCTCAAGAAAGGTTTAGATCTCTTGTGATATATACAAACATGTAATTGAAGTATCGTAGATCGTCATCTTAGACTTCGATGTTACCACCTCCAATCACTAGATTTAGAAGTTACTAAAGAACTTTTGCACACAGCAAACTCTTTGTTCGGTGGTCCTGGGGACGACTGTACAACGTTATCAACGTAGCCATCGCGATGATAATGGCTGACGTCTTACTTCACCCATTTAAACCCGGAATTATCAGATCAGAAGAAAACGGCAAACGTGACGAAATGAACTCCGAACGTTAACTAAAAGAATAGGAGCATGATTTGAAGTCAACTTGTCGTAACATGCGTGATACTTCTGGTTACATTACAAGTAGGAACATCAGTTCTGTAAAACAAAAATGAATTCCATCGGAAGGGGCAAAAATGCACAATGTCGATACCATTCAGACGTGAAATTGAAGAACTGGTTAAGTGAATTCACTGAATCATGCAACCATGGGTGATCTCAGTCCCATGCATTGTGTTTTTAAGGTTGAAGCTACATTTCAAATGAACCAAACCATAGGGCATATACGCAAGTGACCATAAACGTGAAAACACGTTAAAATCATGTAAATTGGAGAAGATATACCAAATTATCTTTCCTTCTCTGAAATATTCAATGAAATGAATTGACAATGACATATATCACTCGTCAATGATGACTTTTCATGACTCATTAATTCAGTAATGCTTCCTGGGAGAAGTCCCATTCGCTGTCTGGGCTGCGTTTAGAGGGGCATGGGCCCTGAGCTGATGATGAGCCTAACCAGCATGACTGTGCCAGGATCGCCAAACCCTCTTTGCTGCGTTTTTATTTTATAATAATAATCATAATCATAATCTTAATTATAATAATAATTGTAAATATAAACAGTTTAGTAGAAGTGTGAATGTCATACAGAGGTGAACAATGTCAGAGGGTCTCTTTGTTCTGACGACACCAACCTCGATAACGGTG